GCAAGCCTACTGCATGAAGCAAGGCCTGGCCCAAGGCAATGTGTGCCAAATCTGCAAATGACATATTTGGAGGCCATGTTAGCAGCAGGTTCCGCAGCAGGCCATGGAACACTAGTTTTTGCCTTTCACACAGTCATACTCCAACATTGTCCAAGATTACTTTTATCACCTTTCTGCAAAGAAATGCTTCCAGCCAGCCATGCCAGACTTTCCAAAATTGCAAAGTTTTAAACAGAGAATCCCATTTTGCAGCCAGTCAGCCCCGGAAGCAATATTGACTTTGGCAGCCCAGGAAGGCATTCCTGCTAGTCACAAAAGGAAACAAATCAGAGAGTTTGTTGAGCAGGTCATTGCAGGCCTTCAGCTATGATTTTGGGAGAGGACCCTGTGGAATTGGCATTTGCCAACATCTTTAACTATTTGGCTGGTGCTTATGCAGCTGGTGGCTGCTTTGCGGATTATTTTGACAAGGTACATGACAACAACCCTGGTTCCTTCAACAACCCTTGGTCTTGCATTCTTTATGTAGATGAACTGCACCCTGGCAACCAATTGGTAGGGAATTCTAGGAATACATGGGCAATTTACTGTTCATCTGCACAGTTTGGGGCCACGCTGTCAAATTCTGAAAGTTGGTTGACATTGCTCGGGAAGAGGAGTGAGCAAGTCTCACAGCTGGCAGCCAGCATTGGCCAATGTTTCAGGTTGATCCTGGAGCACATGTTTGACAACAAATATGCTCATCCTCATTCTGAGGTACTTTTACAGGGAGGTCTTAAAAGACTGAAACTCTCTGTTGGATGTTGCAACAGACCAAGAAATCCTGTCCTCGTGGGCAAGGATGCAAGAGTGCAACAAAACCGAGTTAAGAAGGTGGAGCCAGGCTTCTGGGGTTGATTATTCCCAGCATTCACTCTTGCTGAGTGACAAGCTGAAGTCCCAGAACCTTCTGAGACCAATCGCCCAATACATGCATGATTATATGCATGGGCTCTGCCCAAATGGTGTGCTGAACTAGGTATTTGTTTTTGTGGATCCAACCGCTTGCTTCCAGTGGTGTGGCTGAGATTTGGAAGGCACATGGCTTTGTGCAACTTTGGGCCCAGCCTGCCATTCATAAATGCAATTTGAAAAGGCTATTTCTGCCCAAAGCAGTGGAAGGCCACAAAAAAGCTGGGAAGTTCAGATGCATCCTCAGAGATTCTGGGTCTGTACCAGGTGCTGGCACACTATGTCCAAATTTGTTGCTTGCCTAATGGCATTTGTCTTCTGGGGTCAACTTGCTCTTTGGCTTGGTGCAAAGTTTTGGACTATCGCCTATCCATCCCTGATTTGGAAAAGCCTGACTACAAGCAATTGCTTTCATTTGTTGAAGCAGCATTGGAGGCAACTGTTGCAGCTGAATGGTCGGAAGAATTCGAGCCAAAGATGCACTGGTCACTTCATATTATAGTCAAAGTCTCCAGAGGCATGGCCAATTACCTGCATGCTGGACCATGGAAGGGAAGCACAAAGGCACTAGAAAACATGGGAATGTCTTGTGCAACACTACCTATTGGGAAACTTCTCTGAGGAAGTCTGTCATTGCAGGGCACATCTATACATTGGGTGAAGAGTCAAGACTGTTTAGAGAAGGCACCTGCCTACAAAATGCAAAGGGGGCCCACAAAGAAGATGACGGCATTCCTATGCAATGCTGGCGTGGTTCCTGTGGGAATGCCTTGCATGCAGAGCTCTCGTTGTAAACTTTTTTCTGGGGCAACAATTACTTCTGGTGATGTTGTCTGTTTGCACAATGTGGATGGAGGCTCACCAGCTGTCAATGCAGCTCAAGAGCATTGCTTTTTGAAAGTCCCATGTGGTGATGTGGCCCTTGTCGAAAAATATTTGTTCCAGGAAATTTCAAACAAACATCCGGGTGTTGCTTCTTTACAAGAAACCTCGTGTGCTGTCACTTACAATGCTGCCAAAGGCAGGGTGACATGCCTCACCCCTGCATTCTTGCAACTTTGAAGGGACACGCAATTTCCATCCACAGCAAATGTCTTTGGAAAACAAGCTTCGGTGGTATGCCCAACAGCCGCAACGTTTTATGTTTACTAATCTTTCTGAAGCCTGCTGCCAAGCCAAGCGCTGGAAACACTTCAGCTCGGTTTCCGTGAGTTAAATGGCCACAAATCCTGTTGAACTTGACCTGGCTCTGCACCAAAGCCTCCCAGACCTTCTCCGGAACCCTGTTGAACCTGACCTGGCTCTGCACCAAAGCCTCCCGGAACCTTCTCCGGAACCTTCACCAGAACCCTGTTGAACCGAACCTGGCTCTGCTCCAAAGCCTCCCGGGACCTTCTCCGGAACCCCGGAGCCCTGTTGAGCCTGACCTGGCTCTGCACCAAAGCCTCCCGGAACTTTATCCGGAACCCTGTTGAACCTACCAAAAGGCTCTGGAGGATTAAAAGGATTAAAAGGATCAAATCATTTAATCCTTTTAAACCGTTTAATCCTTTTGATCCTTTTAATCCTCCAGACCTCCCAGAATCCCAAGAAAAGCCCAGCAATTTAATTCTTTAAATCCTTTCAAAACCCTTTTGGACCGGGAATTCCGGACCCCCTGGAGGATTAAAAGGATTAAAAGGATTAAAGGATTAAAAGGATTAAAAGGATTAAATCATTTAACCCTTCTAATCCTTTTAATCCCCTAAAGCGCTCTGGAGGATTAAAATGATTAAACGGATTAAACCATTTAATCCTTTTAATCCTTTTAATCCTCCAGACCTCCCAGAATCCCAAGAAAAGCCCAGCAATTTAATTCTTTAAATCCTTTTAATCCTTTTAATCCTCCAAAAGGCTCTGGAGGATTAAAAGGATTAAATGGATTTAAATATATTTCTCAAGGGCTTGGGCCCGGAATTCCGGACCCCCTGGAGGATTAAAAGGATTAAAAGGGTTAAAAGGATTAAAAGGATTAAATCATTTAATCCTTTTAATCCCCCAAAGGACTCTGGAGGATTAAAAGGATTAAAAGGATTAAATCATTTAATCCTTTTAATCCTTTTAATCCTTTTAATCCCCCAAAGGACTCTGGAGGATTAAAAGGATTAAAAGGATTAAATCATTTAATCCTTTTAATCCTTTTAATCCTTTTAATCCTTTTAATCCTCCAGACCTCCCAGAATCCCAAGAAAAGCCCAGCAATTTAATTCTTTAAATCCTTTTAATCCTTTTAATCCCCCAAAGGACTCTGGAGGATTAAAAGGATTAGAAGGATTAAATCATTTAATCCTTTTAATCCTTTTAATCCTCCAAAAGGCTCTGGAGGATTAAAAGGATTAAACGGATTAAATCATTTAATCCTTTTAATCCTTTTAATCCCCCAAAAGGCTCTGGAGGATTAAAAGGATTAAACGGATTAAATGATTTAATCCTTTTAATCCTTTTAATCCTTTTAATCCTCCAGACCTCCCAGAATCCCAAGAAAAGCCCAGCAATTTAATTCTTTAAATCCTTTTAATCCTTTTAATCCTCCAAAAGGCTCTGGAGAATTAAAAGGATTAAATGGATTTAAATACATTTCTCAAGGGCTTGGGCCGGGAATTCCGGACCCCCTGGAGGATTAAAAGGATTAAAAGGATTAAAAGGATTAAAAGGATTAAATCATTTAATCCTTTTAATCCGTTTAATCCCCCAAAGGACTCTGGAGGATTAAAAGGATTAAAAGGATTAAATCATTTAATCCTTTTAATCCTTTTAATCCTTTTAATCCTCCAGACCTCCCAGAATCCCAAGAAAAGCCGAGCAATTTAATTCTTTAAATCCTTTTAATCCTTTTAATCCTCCAAAAGGCTCTGGAGGATTAAAAGGATTAAAAGGATTAAATCATTTAATCCTTTTAATCCTTTTAATCCCCCAAAAGGCTCTGGAGGATTAAAAGGATTAAATGGATTTAAATATATTTCTCAAGGGCTTGGGCCGGGAATGCCGGACCCCCTGGAGGATTAAAAGAATTAAAAGGATTAAAAGGATTAAAAGGATTAAATCATTTAATCCTTTTAATCCTTTTAATCCCCCAAAGGACTCTGGAGGATTAAAAGGATTAAAAGGATTAAATCATTTAATCCTTTTAATCCTTTTAATCCTCCAAAAGGCTCTGGAGGATTAAAGGATTAAAAGGATTAAATCATCTAATCCTTTTAATCCTTTTAATCCTTTTAATCCTTTTAATCCTTTTAATCCTCCAGACCTCCCAGAATCCCAAGAAAAGCCCAGCAATTTAATTCTTTAAATCCTTTTAATCCTTTTAATCCTCCAAAAGGCTCTGGAGGATTAAAAGGATTAAAAGGATTAAATCATTTAATCCTTTTAATCCTTAGAATCCCCCAAAAGGCTCTGGAGGATTAAAAGGATTAAATGGATTTAAATATATTTCTCAAGGGCTTGGGCCGGGAATTCCGGACCCCCTGGAGGATTAAAAGGATTAAAAGGATTAAAAGGTTTAAAAGGATTAAATCATTTTATCCTTTTAATCCTTTTAATCCCCCAAAGGACTCTGGAGGATTAAAAGGATTAAAAGGATTAAATCATTTAATCCTTTTAATCCTTTTAATCCTCCAAAAGGCTCTGGAGGATTAAAGGATTAAAAGGATTAAATCATCTAATCCTTTTAATCCTTTTAATCCTCCAAAAAGCTCTGGAGGATTAAAAGGATTAAAAGGATTAAATCATTTAGTCCTTTTAATCCTTTTAATCCCCCAAAAGGCTCTGGAGGATTAAAAGGATTAAAAGGATTAAATGATTTAATTCTTCAAATCCTCTCAATTATCCAAAAGGCTCTAAAAATTATCAGAATTAACCGGAACAAAATGGTACCTAAAGGTCTCTCGATCATATATATATATACAGAGTACTCGTATCATGAATATCATGTGCTTGGGGTGTTGAACATGACTTTGTCAACAAACTCTATGAGCTTGTGCCAGCCATGTTTTTCCACGCGAAAAAAACACCCAGGTTTTGTGACCGCCGCGAGTGGCAACAAGTTGTCCTCAGAGATGTGTCAAGTTCTGGGACAATCCTCGTGCCGCTCGGATCCATGGGTTTCACCTAGAGATCGAAGATGGATGTGGGCCCCCCATAGATAGCCAAGTTGGGTGGGGTTAGAAGTCCAATTTTGCTACGGGTCATGGTAATTAGAGCTATAGTATTGGGGTCATTTGGGGTCATAAGCAACTTTTTACTGGGGGTGCCCACATTGTGGGACATTCCACGGGACAACATCACGGGAGAAAGAACCAGAAGATCTGGGTCTGAGTTAAACCAACTGGCAAAGGGTAGAATTTGCCGTTCTTTGATGAGCCACGTCCAAAACCCCCTCAATAAGGACCTCGCGCAAGCGAAATCCTAGTGTTTGTAAGCCAGCCAATGAACCAGGGTGAGCTACCCCTGCACAGAATCCAGAACTGTTGCAGTGTATTGATCCCGGCTCAAGTGTCCATACGATCCATTTCTTTGCTGATTGAACAAAGGTCTCAATGTGCTTGGTCAAATATGGGTCTGTTTCAAGGTAAGGTACCCCAAATGTTGTTGTTTTTCCGATGCTTATCTGCTTATCAAAATGATTCTTATTGTAATGGCAATTCTGGGGTATACCTCGTGGTTGGACAAATGCTGATATCCACAATTTTCAGGGTCCTTTTGTCGTGGGTGCATTTTACCTCGCGTTTGCTCAATTTACCGCCCCAAAATCCCCTAATATCCTAAACTCCCAAATTCATGGATATCCCTACTATATCTCATGAAGTATCCCGCATTTTTGGTGACATATATGTATTGCATGGTATTCTCATCATATCCTCAGTCCATGCCATTATATTCCCATACAGCCAGTTAAATCCAAATGAACAAGCATTATAAATAGATGAGCTAGAGGTCCCAATATGTTCCAATCTGTCAACGCTTAACATTCCTGTAGCATCACCATCGAGCCATCAAGTAACCATTCTACAAGGACGCTTAAGCAACCATGATAGTGGTCATCTCATGGCTGGTTGATCCCAAAGTATGCACAAGTTTCGTTGCTTAAATCCAAGGTTAAATCGCCATTTTTCATGGTCAAATCGCCTTGTTTCACCATTTTTTGGGGGGAACGTTCCGTGCGGTTTCCAAGGCAAACTTTGCCGCAGTGTGGCCTTGTCAAAACCCCCATCCTCGGGCACTGATGCGGCGCAGGAGGCGACGATTTTGGGGCGGGTGGATTTCAATCGGGAAAAATGGGGGATTTCGCCAACCCAGCATGGCGATTTTGTCCAACAAAATACAGTTTTTTTTAGATGATTTAAATATAGCCATGGATTTTGATGGATGTTTAATGGATGTTCAATGACTTGGTATGCAACAAGACACCAAGAGTTGGGATTTGAGCCTGGTGTTTGCTTAATGGTGTTTAATGATGTGTTGCCCAACAAAACACAAAGAGCTGGGATTTGAACCTGATGTTCGATGATTTGATCTCTAACAAAAAATACGAACATGGAAATCTTTTTCCCCACCTGCCAGGTGAGGGTTGTTAGATTTTATGTCAGTTGCTTCCTCCTCGTCGTCCTCCTCATCCTCCTCGTCCTCCTCCTCCTCCTCTCCTCTCTTCTCCTCTCCTCTCCTCGTCTCCTCTCCTCCTGCTCCCTGCCGGACCTCAACCACGACCATCCACGCCCAGTGTGCCCTGCCGGACCTCAACCACGACCATCACCGCCCAGTGTTCCCTGCCGGACCTCAACCGCGAGTATCCCCGCCCAGTGTTCCCTGCCGGACCTCAACCACGACCATCCACGCCCAGTGTTCCCTGCCGGACCTCAACCACGACCATCCGCGCCCAGTGGTCCCTGCCGGACCTCAACCACGGCCATCCACGCCCAGTGTTCCCTGCCGGACCTCAACCACGACCATCCACGCCCAGTGTTCCCTGCCGGACCTCGTGTAGGAAGATAAAATGTCAGATAGAGTGCCAGAAGATTTGCCAGGTAGAATGCCAGAAAATATGCCAGAAGATATGCCAGATAGATATGCCAGAAGATATTTCAGAAGATATGCCAGATAGAATGCCAGATAGAATGCCAGAGAGAATGCCAGAAGATATGTCAGAATATATGCCAGAAGATATGCCAGATAGAATGCCAGATAGAATGCCAGAAGATATGTCAGATAGAATGCCAGAAGATATGCCAGATAGAATGCCAGAAGATTTGCCAGATAGAATGCCAGAAGATATGCCAGAAGATATGCCAGATGGAATGCCAAATAGAATGTCAGAAGATATGTCAGATAGAATGCCAGAAGATGTGCCAGTAAGAACATGTATAAATGTCATGGTGGGGATCACACGAAGTAAAGTAATTTGATAGCAACAAAAATGTTTCGAATGGTTTTGATGAACCGAAATAGAAGTGTTTTATGAATTTGCTCGAACGTAATGAGCTTTGTACACTCCAAAATTGGACTTCCAACTTCCCTAAAAATGGGGTTTGTATGGATTTGGCTGAGGTTCCCACCGTGGGTATGACGAAACCCAAGGATGCCTGGGAGCCTCCCAAGATATGTTTGGTCTGGATCAAGGCTTCCAACGGTGATCCAGCCGTCTTTTTCCAGCCACGGCCAGATATTTCAATACATAAATATATATATATATATAATATAATATGACATATATATGTATATATATATATATCAATAACATATTTGACGACATTCTTCGCTATACTTGAACATGATTCAACATAGTTGAATCATGTTGAATCCTTTTGTTGGTGAAATCGACCTGGAATTCCCCCATGGGTTTTCTACATCAAATTCCCCCAAGCTTCTCGAGCTCCGAAGCGCGAGCTTCGCGCCGTGCTAGGGCCTGGAGGCTTTGGATCACAGTCTTCAGGGTGAGGCGGGCTGGGTGGGGAAACCCTCTTTTTAATGGGCGAATGGCGAATGGGACAATCATCCCATGCGGGATTATTGCCATGTTTGATTACCAGAGGCGCTATATAATTTTTCCATAATCGATTCAAGACAAATTACAGCTCACACTATGACAGGTGTGGATATGGTACATTTGGTATATCGTAGGCCTCATTGAAACTTGTTGCTAAAGAAGACATAGCCACTTGCGACTCCGTGACAACCAGGCAGTTCAATGACTTGCTGATTCAACCCCAATCTTGCTGGTTATATCCCACAACTTGTTTGATTTAATCCTGATGTTCTTCTAATTTTGGTTATATCATATCCATTTTTTTGGGATCAGTTGGTACCCAAAAGTCTTGCTGGTCAAATCCACGTATGATGCTCCCTGCCTGGTGGATTTACTGAGGTGGAGCCGCGATTACACGATGGAAACGGCGAGTTCACCACCTTTTTTGATCTTTTTTGTATCATCAATATTCATTATATCCTATTATATCTGGCTATACCCAGATCAAAAATCTGGCTATACCCCTATTATATCTGGCTATACCTCTATCAAAAATCTGGCTATACCCCTATTATATCTGGCTATACCCAGATCAAAAATCTGGCTATACCCCTATTATATCTGGCTATACCCCTATTAAAAATCTGGCTATACCCCTATTATATCTGGCTATACCCTAATCAAAAATCTGGCTATACCCCTATTATATCTGGCTATACCCCTATTAAAAATCTGGCTATACCCCTATTATATCTGGCTATACCCCTAATCAAAAATCTGGCTATACCCCTATTATATCTGGCTATACCCCTATTAAAAATCTGGCTATACCCCTATTATATCTGGCTATATCCTAATCAAAAATCTGGCTATACCCCTATTATATCTGGCTATACCCTAATCAAAAATCTGGCTATACCCCTATTATATCTGGCTATACTCCTATCAAAAATCTTGCTATACCCCTATTATATCTGGCTATACCCCTATCAAAAATCTTGCTATACCTCTATTATATCTGGCTATACCCTAATAAAAAATCTGGCTATACCCCTAGTATATCCTATTATATTATTATATCCCCAGGTACTCACCCTATTGCAGGGACGACCAGCTTCCAAGGCCAAAGCCTGGTTGGTCTGCTGCTTGCGTCCCAATGATGTTGGACAAGCGGATCGTGTGCGCCTTGGCACTGCAAGGGGAGGGATGCTCCAGAACTGATATCCAGGGTTAGAGGGTTACCCTCTGGTAAACGTTAACTATGGAAAATCACCATTTTATATGGGTAAATCCACTATAAATGGCAATTTTCAATAGCTATGTTAGTTTACCAGAGGGTTAGGTCCAGAACTGACTGATGATATATTGGTAGTTTCAAGATGTTTCAACTATGTATGTATGATTATGATAATAGTTCCATTTCCAGTCGGTCAAGATAGGACGATTTTAACTGCTGGGTTGAAACCGCCAAACCGGCAAGAAATCATCTTCGGTTTTGAATTCTCAATACCTCTAAGATTTGTGGCGATTTCTGGTGCTTGAACAGTCTATGTAACACCCTTTGGGTCTGTCAGCAAATGGGGCATACGCCCCAAACGGCAATTTCTCATGGGGAATACGGCGATTAACCATTTGATGGAATTGGGATTTCTCCTATTTTTTATGACGGCCCTGAACACCATATCAGATATGGTTGGATCTATGATGGACCATCCAACCTGCTGCAGCCTTCCCAAACACACCGACCCAGGCGTTTTTTTTAATATTTTGTTCCTCTCAAGGAATCGCGAAGTGATGCTGCAGCAAGTGCAAGACCTTCGTTTGGCGGATGCCGTTCATCTCTCGGGCGGGCACTCGATCATTTGGCCCTTGCTGCTCAGCTCGGCTTGATAGGGGAATCAACAAACGTGGCAATTTGTTTGATAGTGGTGAATGGCATATTCATGGGATAATCATGTTTTTTTCCCGGATGCGTAGCAAGGGTTCCCGTATCACTCTGGGGGTCTGGGGGTTGAGGCTGTGTTCGCTCGACGTTGCGCAACCGTTCGCAACCGTTTGCAACTGTCCGCAACCGTTCCGGCGAGGCCCGTATGGCCGTGCCTATGGCAAGTTCTGCAGCAGTGGCTCCATGCCAGTTGCAAGAGCCAGGGAGCCCTGAGCCGATAGCTGTTAACCCTTTCCTGATGCAAACCCGAAAGCAGAATTGTGAGAAGATCATGTATGGATGCCGCCGTCGAAAGAAGTCACTTTTGCAGGTTTCCAGCGTCGCGTTGCTTCGTTTTGCGTGGCAGGCGTGGCACTTCGTGACATTCAGACGTGTTTCTTAACGTGTCGAAAGTTTTTTGTGTGGCAGGCGCAATACTTTCGCGACGTTTTCAGAAGATGCATTGCAGTTTTCGTGGCAGGCGCAACACTTTGGAGACCTCCGTTGTCATGTCGCGTGGCAGGCGCAGCACTTCAGACGTGTCGTGTTGCGTGTTTTTTGCGAATCGCATTGTCGGGGCTGCGTCAGGCAAATTCCGTGGAAGGCGGATGAAAATTGACGGAAGCCTCGCACGAAACATCGATTTTGAGGCAAAAAAAAATTGAGCTTCATGAATAAACTCGTATAGGAAAACATCGATTTTGGAGCTACAAACTATGAAAATTTGAGGAGGTCTCGCACGAAACGCTCGTTTTGAGGCTCCACTTACATAGTCCCGTTTTTTATAACTAGTTATGTAGAGTTATGTTAATTATGTAGAGTTATGTTGAGTTAGCTAACTAGTTATAACTCTTGCTAACTCTGTTTTTGTGTTGTTTTGAATGTAAGAAAAAACGCTTTCCACTTCAAGGAAAAAAAGGTTTGCTGGCATCAAGAGGCTACCAAAGCTTTAATTTTCAAAGAGAAACATTGAGCCATATATATGGGACAATTGTCCAGGATGAATGTCATGGTATGTTCAAAAAGAAAGTATGTAATTCAATATGAACATTGTGTAACAAAGAATGAAACCAAATAAGTACCAAGAATCATTTGAAATCAAGCTGTTTATTCAAAAAAGAATGAATCCGCATTTTGTAGCAAAAGGAAAGTAAGAGTAAGCAACACATGCAGCACATCACACCAATTGCTGCAAAAGAATGCCTTCCAAAAACAAAATGTTCCAATAGCCTCCCAACTAAAAAACTAAAAAACAGCATAAGACCTGTCACTTGTATGATGCAATGCCACATCAGGCAACATGTCAAATGCTAATTGCCATGTGGGGCCAATGTGCTAAACCAAGCTGATGATGCAATGCCAAAATTGGCAGCAGCTGGGTAATTGTTTTGGGTACATGTTTAAGCCAATAGTTTGATGGTTTAAGCCAATAGTTTGATGCAAATGGGATATGGCAGAAGCACTTTGGCTTCTGGATGACCTTTATGGCAAATTACAGCTGTCAAGATGCTGGCAGTGGTGACACATCCTGGGTCGGTGTCGATGGTACACAATGCATATTGCTGGTTTGGAAACCATTCTTTCACTTGCCAAGGCTGGACCAGAGTGGTCACTACACCATTCAAAAGCAAATGGAGTTGCACCTCTGCAATGCCAAGAGTGCTGCCTGCTTGGTAAATAACAACATCACCTTTGTGGCAAGCAGTGTGGTTCACACTTGCCTGCTGGCTAGTGAGAGCATGGGGCATGGCTTCACCAAGCATGCTGGAGAGAGTCTGCAATGTCTTCTTGGAAGCTTTTATTGGGTTCACTAGGAACACACCATCTTGGAACAGATCTGGTGTGTCCAAGGTGCACATTTCTTGTGCCAGAACCTGCTCCAGCAAGTTTTTTTCAACATTTTTCTGGTTGTGCAGCAAAGTTGCCATGGCACCAATGGGCTTGTGCTTTCTCTCATTGGCAAAGCAACCTGGTAATTTTCCAAATCTGGCATGGGCATCTGGCAAGTGCAGTTGCCAATGCCATTTTTTTATCAAAGGTATGGCAGGGAATGCTGTGTGGAAACCTTCTATGGATGTCTCTATGGCTGGCAGCAGAGTATTTCTGCTGATGACACCAGCTTGGTTTCCATCATGAACTTGGTCAATGACTGCTGCCATTGCAAGGAATGCTTGGCTAGCTGGCAAGCAAAGACCCCTTGGCATACACACAGCATGGACAAAATGTCGAACCACTGGAAAGATTGCTAGCAGCTCTGAAGCTTGGCAAGAAAATTTTTGGTTGTTTTTGTGGCTAACCATTTTTTTCTTGGAAAAATATGTGCCCACATGCTGGCTTTTCCACTGCTTTGGGAAAGTCCAGTGCTTAAAGTAACCTTCCAAAAATTGCCATACCTGCAATTCTGTGTCCATGGCACACAAAAAATGAAACACTGCCATGGGGCCTGTGCCTTGCAAGACACCATGCATGTAATCATGAGTAAATTGGGAGCAAGGCTGCAGTAACTTCATGGCTTTCAATTGGCCATCCAACATCAAAGCCAAGGGGCTGTAGGTCCAGCCTGTGGCCTTTTCCCAAAGCTCAAAGTTGGCTTTGGTGCAAATGGCTTTTCTAGCATGCAGTTGAGCATATGATTCTAAAACTTGGCCATTTGTGGTCAATACTAGCTGGTCATACTTTCTAGTATTCTCATGCATGTTCTCTTCTGTGGTGCCACTGGCCCTGATGTTGGCACACAAAAAGCAAAACTTGATGCCACTGTCCCCCTTGCTTCCCCACACTTGCTTCTGGGCAGCTCCATCTGCCAAAACACTGGATAAAGTGAAATGGAGTCTGATATCACCTTCATGGTGCTTCAGTAGCAAACCACCTTGGGGGTGGCTTATGGGTCTGCAAAATATGTTTTTCAACAGCATGGCAGTGACTTGGCTGACACCTGCTTCCAAGGTGGACATGACATTGCTTCTGACAATGGCTAGAGTCAGCCAGGCATCTGTGCTGCTAAGGTGTGGCCCCATTTCAAAAAAGGAAGCATACCATGCCCAAGATTTTCTCTCTGCTCTACCAAGCACATTGCCAGGTATCAGCTCATCTAAATACAAAATCATTTGCCATGGTCTGGCTGGTGAACTTGGGTGGAGCTGATGCTGCTTCTTCACAAGCTGGTGGAATGATCCACCCCTGGCAAACAAAGCAACAAGGTAGGTGAGGAGATTAGTGAAGGACACCTGCACTGGCTTACCTTGGGCATCTTGGGCATTTTCTGATTGAATCAATGGACCTAAGGCACCACCATCACATGAGGCCAGAAGCTCTCTTCTGGCTTGTCTTTGGTGCTTGCCAGAGCTGACTTCAGGCAAGCCTGTTTTATTGGCTTCCTGGACCATTGCATGTAAGCTGGCTTGGCTGCGATGTGGCAAGCTGGCTTTGAAGTTCTGCAACTTGGCCAACTTCTGTGGCCTGGAAGAAGAGGCCATAGCTGGCACACTGCCAAGAAGAAGCTAAAATGTTGCATGTTATTCATGGTGGCCATCTCATTGCTTGTAAAGCTAAAGTCTTTATGATATTGTGCTGTTACTAATTTGCTTTGCTTGTGCTTGATGTATACTTAATATTCACACAATTCTGGGTTGTAAGCATGTAGTATAAAACTTTGGATCACTTTATGATTCTCTTCAGCTATATTGCTTGGTTGGAGCCTTTGTCTGCAAAAGAATTGGCAATATACTGTTTGAAAGTCAATTGGTAAGAGTTCCTTTGCAATGCCAAAAAATTGGCCTAATGTAAAAAAAAAGAGCATGCAGTTCTGCATGCCTTTCAATGCCAAAGTGGCCCATACAGGCAAAGCAAGCAAGAGGTACAAAATCATGATGCAAAGCCATGGAAGGCCATGTGAACAAGTGGTGCATTCCTGAGAAAACACATGTAAACTTTTTCCTGGTGGCTGGCCAATTGTCAGTGGCTGGTCTGGTTCCTTGGCACACAGCCAAGCACATTTGTACACCATGCAAATGTCTTTGCTTCCCCAACAAATGGCTTGGCCAACTGCTGATGGTTCAACCTTACAGGTGGCCATCCTTGGCTAGTTTCCAAGCAACCCAATTGGCTCTGGAATTGAATCTCAAACCTTCAAAAGTGGGCTGGACACAGTTATCACAGCCTTTAATGTTTCCTCGGCACCTGATACAACCAAATGGTCCAGCTGGTCCTGGGTAGGTGTAGTGGCCATTCTGCTCTGGGTTGGCCAAGGGTTTGGTCAACTGAACTCTGGTAGCTGGTCTTTTCAGAATTTGCTTCTGGGCAGAAGCCTTGCCTTTGGCTGTGGCTTTGGCACTTGCTTTGGCCTGGGCCTTTGCTTTGGCCTTGGGGGCACTGGTGGCCTTGCCCTTGGCTTGTGCCTTTGTCTTTGACAAATTTGCAAATGCTTGCTCTTCATACTGGGCCAAGGCACTGCCTTCAGTGGCTTTTGCCTGACATGGACAGGAATGTGTTGGGATAGGCTAGCTGTGCAAAAAACAGAAAAATAATGTAATGCCATAAATGGCTGACTTGTGATGTAATGCCACTTGGCAACAAGCATGCTCTGCAGTGCAGAACAATGTGATACAATAACTTTGCCAGCCTGTTCTGCTGGAGTGTCTTGAAGAGGCAATGGAGAAGCACCATGGGAAGCTGTGGCTTCCTTATTCTCTTCCAAGCCCTGGCCCTGCTGGTTGCCAGAGCTGTGGTTCACAGAAGCTGGCTGCTTGCAAGCATGTTTGTCCAAGTTTTGGGTTTGTGGGGATTGAGGGACAAAACGATCCAGCAATTGGCTCAACATGCCCAAAACAATCTGGTCACTGGACTTGGCTGGTTCCTGGGCAGAGCTGCTGCCAGAGATGGAACTGGAAGCACCTATGTTCTTCCTCACTTCCTTGTTGGAATCTCTGCAAATTACCTTGGTAGACA